ACTGGGACCTGTTTTGTTGTTAAACTTGAACTCAAATGGCATTGGTTTATTAGGATGCTTTCCATGCAAATTAAGAAGTTGTTGGGGGGGGGGGTGAGAAATTGTTGGTATCTGAGAGGAATGCAAACTAGATAACTATATACCTAGTACTCATGGCCATGCAACCTGACCAGGGGCTAACTCATGTTCTTTCAAGTCTTCTGTGTGGAGACATTTGCTTTCAGGAATATAACAAAAGACTTTGGTTTTCCTTCAATTGGACCTGAGCATATAAATGAGAATATAACAGAAAAGTTGTAAAGACTCAAAAATGTGAACTAGTACTTCCCAGAGAGTTCTATCTAAACTTCTATCTAAACAACCCCCCTCCTCCCATTTCCTAGGAAATGGCTGTAGTCCTGGGCAATAAGGCTAACCAACCACCTCTGCTTATTAGATATTGATAAAGTAGAAGCGATAAGTATCTCATTTGAGCAGCTGACATACCAGCTACCACTGTCAGGCTTCAGTTAATATTCTTTCCTCCACCTACTTCTATACCCCATTTTACTTAAAAATTTTTTAAATATTTTTTATTGATTTCAGAGAGGGAGAGAGATACATCAGTGATGAGAATCATTGATCAACTGCCCCCTGCATGCCCCATACTGGGGATTGAGCTTCCAACCTGGGCATGTGCCCTGACCAGGAATCAAACAAACCATTATCTTCTTGTTCATAGGTGGACATTCAACCACTGAGCCATGCCTGCTGGGCCATTTTACTTGTAGAATTATCTGTATTTAAAATTACTTAGAAGAATCTACTTGCTCTGCTGAGTACTAACACCAGAACAATTTCTAAGCCAAGGCAGAAGCATCTAACAACAGCGGCTAGAGGAAGAGACATAAGGTAGGAGTGTAACATCTTCCAAGCAGATCCCCACCTGGCCTCACACTTTCCACTAGGTGTTTGAAGCTAGTCTGGGGAAAGCCTGTCCCAAATCCAGGACTAGGGCACTGGAGCCTTCTACCGTCAGCCCCTCAGTCTCCTCACCTCCATTGTATCATTTTTAGAAATTGCTGTAATCTGAGTCAACAGAATAAGGAACTTTTATTCTCACTCAGAAAAGCAAAGTCAGGTAAAACTGTAGGGATTCCTAAGAACCTGATATCTATGTCCCAGACCAGGAGAAACCTAAAGGAAGTCTCTGAAATCTGCAATAGCCTGGGAGGTGTTGGTGAAGGAGAGGGGCCAGTCCCTCTTGCAAAGATGACAGGCCTGACATCATGCAGGCTGTGGAGGAGACTCAACACTGATCCAATCTTTTCTTCCCTTTGGGTTTCTCCCCAGAATTATTTTATATAGTGTATCTAATTATTGAGTTACAAATCATCTTTGGAATAAAAATAGTAGATAGGTATGTAAGTCTGCCATTCTTCCTCTGTAATATCCCTCCAGTTCATTTTTTTCTGCATTCTCCATGCAACCAGTGACATCCTGGTACTTGCTGTGTGATGGGACTGATGGAATAGTTTCTCAGAAGCCAACCTTTCAGCTCCAGTATATCTTGTACACCTCTGCTAGACCAATTCCTCCCCCCCCCCCCAAAAAAAAAACAAATTATTTCATCACCTCCTGTGTTTAAAGAATCTATGATAATTTACTAGTAAACCTAAATCCTGTTCAATCAAATCTCCATTTTCTACCTATTGAGACTTTTCTCTGCCCACATGGCTAGGCTGCTTACCTTATTACCCTTTCTGTATACTATGTTTATCCTGATGAAGTTACTTTAGTCTTCATAGGACCAGTCTATCTAAGGCACTCTTCTTGTCTCTTGAAATCTTTTTTTCCTCATAAGCAAACTCCACTCCTTCATGAATCTTCCTAACCTCGGATATCCTTACTTTTTAAAAATATATATATATTTTTATTGATTTCAGAGAGGAAGGGAGAGGAAAAGATAGAAATGCCAATGAGAGAGAATCACTGATTGGCTGCCTCCTGCAAGTCACACACCAGAGATCAAGCCAGTAACCATGGCATGTGTCTCGACCAGGAACCGTGACCTTCTGGTTCACAGGTCAATGCTCAACCACTGAGCTACACCAGCCAGAAGGAAATCCTTACTTTCTGAATACCAAGGCACTTTGAATGAAATGGCCTTCAAGTTAAATAATAAACGAGATGGGGCTCTGGCCTGTATGACTCAGTGAACAGAGTGTCAGTCTGGGCACCAAAAGGTCTAGTGTTCTAGTTCTATTCCTGGTCAAGGGCACATACCTGGTTCAATCCCAGGTCCTGGTTGGGGTGCATCAGGAAGCAGCCAGTCATGTCCCTCTCACATGGATGTGTCATTCTTTTCTCTTCCTCTCCCTTCCCCACTTCTATTCTAAAAAAATCAATGGAAAAAATATAATCGGGTGAGGACTGACCAAAACAAGAGATGGGAACAACAAAGGGAGAAGACCTCTTTCTGAACTAGAAAAATAGAATGTAAGAACTTTGTAGTTGCTAGCATCTACTTTCTTTCTGATTAGCCAGCGTCCTCTGGTTTGCCAGCAGGAAAAAAGGGAATGTGAACAGACCTCTGGCAGCTGGGTAGGGCCAGCCCTTGGCCTATGGAGCCATCCCAGCCACTCAGTTGGAGCAATGTTAACTTTGAAATGAAACAGTAATATAAGGTGATGACTAGCTTATGGAATAATAGGCGAGTCTTCACTTATGTATGATTATAAGTGAAGACTCACCTATTAGCAACCAAAACATGCTGTTTTCTCCTGATAGTCATTAATGATATCTTAGTAACATGAATATATCACAATTAAGTTCAGTTAATATTAGTAAAGAATACATCAATAATTGATTAGTTTTTATGCATATAGCCAATGAATGACACTCGAAAAAAAAGCCAATAAAATCAAGTGTTTATAGATAATGAATATATCTAGAATCTGCCATTGGATCAAAAAATCTCCTTTTCCCAAGTGAATTTTTGTTCTAGGGCACAGTTTATCATTCTATATCTAGGAACAGTAAAAGAAATTCTGGGGACTGAAGTTCACCAATTACTCAATATATTTTTACGTCACTGATGTATCAAAACTGGACAAGGTCACAGAGGCAGCTTTGGTCTACTGAGCCATGGGAGCCAAGCACTGGACGCAGTGAATATGGCCTATGAAGGGATATGTACTGCGATGACATTGGGGTGACATTCCAGATCTATCTATAACAGTGAGTCTGACCTTTTTACAACACACACTTCCTTGGGAGTCTCTCCCTGGAAAATGCATTTAAACTCAATACTGCATATACTTCAGACTCCACAAAACCCATCCAGGGAATTCTTAGGGGTCCAAGCCCCCGGATTAGGAACTATTTATCTAGATGTCTACCATATACCCACTTATTCCTACTATTGAAGAGTCTGAAACATCCCTTCCCATTTTGCTGCCCAGATTTAGGGCTCCTTAGTAGATGGGTTATATGTGCTGTGAGGTGGTGGTGGTGCAGCCTCATGAGGAATCTATAGTCCTTTATTTATTGTCTTTGTTTTTAGTTATTTCAGGGTTGGTCCATAGGACTTTGGGTGAGAGGATTAAATTTCTTCTATTACATGACTCCCAGCGTAGGTCTGATTAGGCCAGAAACAGAGAGAAGACTATATAGCCAAGTGCCCAGTGGAGGAGTGTAGCAGGATTGGCAGTGTGTCAGTCTCTCTGCAGTATCTGTTATGTCAGATGAAGGTAACCACCTGGAAGCTGGTAGTGGCTCTTCCCTTTCCCAAGAGACAGAGCTAGCCCTAAAACATAGAAACACCTACAAGGAAGGTCTGGGATTTGAGTAGTTCTCATCACAGAAAACCCCTCTTCCAAGCCTGGTCCTAGGTAAAGTGGCCATTCTGGATCAGACTCAGAGCAGAAGAGGATCCCTTTTGGTTGGACTTCTATTACTCTTGCAGCTCAGTTTCATCTCATCTTTGCTCTTGTCACTTCATGGGTACCAACAGCCTTGGTCAGATATGAAGAAATATTCAATACTATTATTTGCGTTGACTACTCTGTACAAAGATGCCAAGTACAGATGGACTAAAGGTCTTGGCAGTTACTTTTATCTTGCTCAGATGATGGTTGTAATCCACCTAGTCCCTTAGTTGCACATAGATGTCCATTATCTTTTCACAGTCAAGATACCAAATACCTGAACTCATTCCTCAGCTATTACAACACTTGTCTTTGGGGATCTGAAGACAAAGCAAGACTTTGTGATTACTGCGGGTCACTTCTGGAGCTGCCCTGAATCTGGCTATTTGTGACTTCAAACCACAATTTCCACTGAGGATACAAATCTCACATCACCTATTTACTCAAGACCAGTAAGGGGTCAAGTTGATGTTAAGGATATAAAAAAAGATGCTGCAAATGCCTGTGAAACCAGGTTTTCTGGCAAGCTAGAGCCACCACTAATTCTTCTTGATGATTTCATGGGACTTGCTCAAGCACAAGCAAGGGACATTTCAGTAATTAGATGTGCACTGCACACAGATAGCACGTGCTGAAAAAAACAGGTCGTGCCCTACAATACAAACCTGCACCGACCAAAAATCCCAGGCTGGCATTTTGGCCCATGCTTCCCATTTTGGTTCATGCTTAGCCAATCCCCTCCTGCTGTGGGCTTCAGTACAGAGTAGGCTGACAACACTCAGTTGAGCTATCCCACCCCAAATCCAAAGCAGCAGCTCACAGCTCTCCTCTGCTGCCTCATATCTTACTCCAAACATGATGGGTGGCTTACACACCTATCCTTCTGGGGCTTCTCTCTATGTTCCCTCTTCTCCTCTATTCTGTCACTTCCACTAGAGCTGGTGTGGACCTGAGCCTCCTACCCAGACAACAGGCAGAGGCTGTCAAATAGATTCTGAGCAAGTGATCATTTCGCACAGCATCTAGATTAGTGTAACCATGGGGAAAACACTGGTAAAAAAAAAAAAAAAAAAAAAAAAAAAAAAGACAAAATTTCCAAAAGGTAAATTTCTGTGTATTCACGCCTAATCTTCCAAAAGTTGTGTAAATAATTTTATCTACCTTCCCCCATCATTTGCACAATTTTTATCAAGTCCAAACGTAATTTAAAATGAGGTAGGTAGTTTCTCTCTAATCGTGCCTTCATCTTTGTGGCGACTGTTGAGGCCTGTACTTGAAAGCACTAGTCTCCCTCTTAGGGGGAGCCACGGGTGGGCAGCAGGGCCTGGTGGAGCTTCTCAGTTGGCTATTTTCTCAATCTCATCCAAATCATCAGTGTCCAATCTTTCTATTTTCTTATCTGAGAATAAAAAAAAAATTCAAAGAGAGATCAACATGGGGTTATATGAAGACATACACCTAGGGAAAGTACAGCCCAGCAGGGAGAGAAAACACACAGGTCTCTGCCCTAGCTAGGAACAAGCCCTGCGTCTGCCCACAACCACCCTCCAGCTAACCCCAAAGGCTTCTGGTGCCTGAGACACAGACACTGACAACAACAGTCCGAGTCCAAGGCCGTCAGCCTGGCCAAGGGGAACTGACATCCAGTCCTAACACTGAACTCCCCAGGTGAGCTCTTTAAGGACGTCCCGATTGTAGGGGAGGAGGGGATTATGCAAAGGGACAAAGCCTCTCTAGGGGCCACAGGATACCTACCCTTCCACCCACCCCCGGACTTGCCCCTATAAGGAAAGGCAGGACACGCCCAGGACTCACTAAAATGCTCCTGGATTCTGTTGAGGATGTTCATGCTGTGCTTGCTGTCCACCATGTTCACTGCCAGGCCCCTCTTGCCAAAGCGGCCAGTGCGCCCGATCCGGTGCAGGTAAGTCTCATTGTCTGGGTTCCCATCCTTGTCCACAGGAAGGTCAAAGTTGATGACAACAGACACCTGTTCAACGTCAATACCTGCATGAAGGAGAGATGGGGAAGAGTAAGACTGGGAGACGGGCCACGTACACAACTCTGGGGAGAGGGAGTCAGGCTGGGCCAGCTCAGGGATTCAGGGACCAGGAGCACGGAGCAGAACCCAGAGGAAAACCACAGGGCTTGGCAGGTGCTAAAGAAATTAAGAAGTCAGTAGGAGAGCCTCCGCTGGACACTAGTGTCAGGAGATGCAGCTGAAACCTCATGGCTGCCCCAAGAAGAGCAGGCTCCACTGTAAACCAGTCAGAAGCCTGTGCATTTCCTCCCACAAGTCAGGACTTGGTTTCCGTGCAAGTTCCTATCTGCTGAGGGAAGCCAGTCTCTCCTAGAAAACAATGTCACCACCAACCGCACGTGACCACTCCCAAACCACTGAGTTCATATATGAGGATTTCTCTTGCTACCCCGAGGCTGGCAGATCAGGACAAGTTCTCTGCTCACCACGGGCACACACGTTGGTGGTCACCAGAACCTTCTCTTTGCCTTCTCGGAAGCGCTCAATCACCGCAGCCCTCTGCTCCACCATCATCTCACCACTTAGCAGAGCCACCTGGTGGCCTTCTTTTGAGAGCTCTGCTGCCAGCCAACTGGCTGTTTTGCGGGTCTGGAGTGAAAAGAATTGTTTTAAATGAAGATACCTGCAAAAAAAAAAATGAAAACACCTGCAGAAAAGTGGCTTTTTGCCATTTATATACATGAAGACCTGAGGCATTCAGCCAGCAGGTTAGACTTAAAATTTTTCAAACAGAATCTAGCCATATATTTTTGGGATGAATTAAATGAACCTGGTCCTCCTCAGCACCAAGGTGGAACTGGCTGAGAAGGAGGGGGCTGGACAACATCTTCCCATGGAACTCCTCCCCAGGCTGGCCTGCTGCTGCTGCTCCTGCTGCTACTCACATGGCAGAAGATCATGGCCTGAGCAATGGTGATGGCCCCGTAGAGGTTACACAAGGCCTGGAACTTCTCGTCTCTGTTATTGCACAGGACATAATACTGTTTGATGGTGTCCAATGTCTCCTCCTCACGCTTCAGTTTGATAATGTTTGGGTCTGGGACCACTTTCTGGGCAAAGTTCCATACAGAGTCTTCAAAGGTGGCAGAGAAGAGCAGCATCTGGCAGTTCCTGGGCAGCATCCTGCAAGGGAAGGCCCAGGTGTTTGGCATGAGCCCGAGTTTTTCACTGGCATGAGCAGCAGCACAGCCTCCCAGGCACGGATGGTCAAATATGTCCCCTGGAAGGTGGCAGAGGTGGAGGAGCACTGTGGGGAAGAGGCAGGACCAGACATGGGGCAGGGTGATATTAGATCCCCTAGGTCTTTTTCCTCAACCCAGGTGGGATTATGGTCAGTGCTGACATAACCCATCAAACACATACTTCTGAAGCTTCTAAAGCAGAGACCTCAGCAGGAGAGAGAAGAGGAGTTGGATATAACAGGTGGAGACATGAAGAAGAAGGTTTTTATTTGTAGATCAGGAGACTGAGAAGTTCCTCCCAGATCCAGTATACTACCTTTGGATGCGGATGCTCTGATCTTGGTGGCCCTGAGTAGCTATCATCACATCAGCCTCATCCAGAACAAACACCTTGATCTTCTTGGGGTCAATGAACTTGAGCTTGGAGCACCAGTCTAAGACAGTCCCAGGGGTGCCAATGACAATGTGCTCACTGATCTTCTGACCTCTTTCCACTGTGGAGACAAGATGTTTTACCTAGGTATGTCCTTGGCAAAACCATCTCTCCTTTCTGAGAAATTCTAAAGCTTTGATGTATTTTAGTACAATTTTTTGATGTTTGCATTAGTATTTTAAGGAAAGGTTAGAATATCACTACAATATCTCATGGACACACACACAGAAAAGACAATAATGCTGAAAAGATATACTAAGGATATAAACAATGACAAGATAAAAAAACTTTTTGGTATTCTTTCCCATTTTATATTTCAAAAATCTCTTATCTTTTTAAATTTTTATTAATCCTCATGGGAGAATATTTTTTCCATTGATTTTTAGAGAGAGTGGAAGGGAGAGAAAGGATGAGAGAGAGAGAGAGAGAGAGAGAGAGAGAGAGAGAGAGAGAGAGAGAGAGAGAGATATGTCAGAGAGACAACTTAACTAATTGCCTCTTGCACATTTCCCAACTGGGGTTGGGGATTGAACCTGCAACCAGGTAAATGCCCTTGATTGGGAATTGAACCCTTAAACCTTTGGTGCATAGGCCAATGCTCTAACCATTGAGACACTGGTCAAGGCAAGGACCTGCTATTTTATTTCTTCTCTGTCAGCAAGGTTCTCCCTAGATGAGGATTGCATTTCCTCATAACAGACATTTTCAAAGTTTTCCTCACTCTAGAGTACTCAGCTCCTTAACTCTTCCAGCATTTATATCAAACAATTTAGGTGCTTTTACACGCCTCATGCCCAGATCAATAATTAGGGTCCATTATGAAAGATTGTCTTTTCAAACACAATCTACCTCACTTAAAATGATTCCAGATTAGGCCTGGCAGACCATGACATATTCTTGGTCCTGCACAGTTTGAAATTGAGAATTTGGTTCTTCATTTTCAATCAGATGGTACCTCTTGATTCAAATTTTAGCACTTATTTGTACTCTTTACCAGACATAAACAATTTCCCTCTACTCATGGCCAAAATTTTGCCCAAATGTGAATGTTGAATCAATTCAAAGCTAACAAATGCTGCCTCTTTTAAATTTCAGTTAAGAAAAAATTACTGCCCCTCACAAAAAAATTATCCAAAATCCTCTGTCATTCTAACTCAAATCCAAACTGACATTTTAAATAACTTTTCACTAAGTTTTATTATGTTACTTTTTAGAACTGATTGCACAAAAGGATGTTGTACACAGAGTATATTTCTGCGAGTCATAAAGTAACAAGTTTGTGTTAAAGACCCATAGGACTCAACCGAACTTCTATGAAAATTTAAATTACTTAAATATTGTCAGTTTGTTATAAAACAAAGGCAGAAAATATGTATAAAGAATAAAAATAAACTACCAGAGTTAACTGCCATGAACATTCTAGAACATTTTTGTTCTTCTAATGACATCAAAAAGAAGTTAGGTAATTAAATCCAGAACTTGGAATATTTTATAAGCAAAAAGGTGTGTTCAAAAAGTCAAATGTAATGTGAAGGGACTATTCTAGATTAAAAGAAATATAAGGAGATACAATAACCAATGCAATGTGGACACACTCGCTCGATCTTGTTTGAAAACGAGAGCCATAAGGAAACAATTTTAGGACAATTGAAGTAAAATGAAAAATGACTAGGTATTAGTCATTAGAGAATATGTTAATATTCTTGTTGTGATAAGGGTATTGTGGATATGCTGAAGAATGTCCTAATCGTGAAATGCATATTAAAGTATCTACACTAATAAAAGAGAAACATGCAAATTGACCATACCTCTGCTACGCCCACAAGCCATGTCCACCACCCAATCAGGAGCAAGTATGCAAATTAACCCAACCAAGATGGCTGCGGCCAGAGAGAGAGCAGGAGACTTGGGTTGCCCCCAGCGATGGAGGAAGCCAAACTTCCTGCCCTGCCCTAGCTGGCCCTGGCCTCCGCTCAAGGCTACAAAGTTTCAATTATAGAAGATAAATAAATCCCAGATATCAGAGCCTCTGCTTGGGTAGCCGGGAGGGGTGTGTGTGTGTGAGCAGCCTGCAAACCACCACAGGCCTCTCGCCCAGGCTGCCCCATGCCCCAAGGGAACCCCCACCCTGATCTGGGACACCTTTCAGGACAAGCCAGCCGGCCCCCAGTCATGCACCAGGCATCTATCCTATCTAATAAAAGTAATATGTATATTGACCATCACTCCAATACACAAGATCAAGATGCTGCCCCCATGTGGTCGAAGATGGCTGCCCCTATGTGGACACAAGATGGCCACCACAAGATGGCCAGCAGGGTTAGGGCAGGTCAGTTGGGAAGGACCAGGCCTGCAAGGGAGGGCAGTTGGGGGAAACAGGCCTGCAGGGGAGGGCAGTTAGGGACAATCAGGCTGGCAGGGGAGTGGTTAGGGGGTGATCAGGAAGGCAGGCAGGCGAACAGTTGTGAGCCAGTAGTCCTGGATTGGAGAGGGTACAGGCTAGGCTGAGGGACACACCTCTCCCCTGCCCTGTAAGAATTTCATGTACTGGGCCTCTAGTTAGGAATAAAAAGCCACAAAGTGCAATTTGCTTTCAAATGATTCACCAGAAATATTTATACACACACAAATATGGCAAAACATTAAGTTTTCAAATCTAGGTGCAGGGCACACATGTTCATTGTATTATTTTAACTGTAAAATTAAAAAAATTACTAGCTTAATGAATTAGGATTACATATTCATACTCACATTTATTGCCTCGAACAGCATAAGCTAGCTTCAGCTCTGGGTAAAATTTGCCCATCTGCTCAATCACTTTTCCTGTTTGAAGGGCAAGTTCATACGTTGGGGAGAGGCACAGACACTGGTAGAAAGAGTGCAGAATGAGAAGTCAAGACAATAGCTTTTTTGCAATAGGGAATTACACCAGGATTTAGTTATTCTTCCAGCTAAGGCTGAAGGAAAGGATATATAAAGTATACACCATTTGATTCTTTAAGCTTCAAAGTCACAAGGTAGAATTCTTAGGGGCCAGAATTCTGGCTGGGTAGACACTTGGAAACAGCTACTGGCCAGTAGAGTACCAAAACCTACAAGTGAAATTCAAATTGGAGATTAGCTTCCTTTTCACTTTCTCAGAAAGTTCTCAACTCTCTAATGGATGAATAATTGTAGATGAAGGAGGTTTTTCCTGCGAGTAAAGGAGCCAAGCCTATCAGCAGTATCCTGGAATTGGCAAACCATGGAAGAGAGTAGGATTTTTGTTACTAGATCAACTATGTTGGTTGTACCCAACTTAAGGAGCTCTAGTTTATGTAAAAGGTAATATAAGATATGGCTTTTAACCCATCAAATAGCATTTCCCTTCTAGCTATGCATTAGCAGAAAACCCAAGTTCACTAAGTCCTTACCTGGGGGTATCTGTTTGCAGGTTCTACATGGCTGAGCATGGCCAACACAAAGGCAGCTGTTTTACCAGTACCAGACTGAGACTGGGCAATTAAGTTCTGTGGGCTGCACAAGAAAATGAACTGTTTAGTAAGCTTAAATCTCAAGTACCCTTTCAGTTAGTAAAAATGAATAATGTCTCAAGTTAAAGAAAAGACATCCATCTTGAAGTAATGTTACTATTATGATGCAGAACAAAGGAACTTTGAGAAAATAAAGACCTAAAATATCTATTTTTAGACAAACGCTTACTAGACAAACCTCAATCCCACCTCGAATCTACTGAAATCAGAATTGGCATTTTAATAAATTCCTGAGACTCATAGGCTATGAAAATGTGAGAAACACTGCTCCATTCTGGTCTGCTAGAACATGTTGTTTTTTGTTTTTTTTAAATATATTTTATTGATTTTACACAGAGAGGAATTGAGAGGGATAGAGAGCTAGAAACGTTGATGAGAGAGAGACATCGACCAGCTGCCTCTTGCACACCCCCCACTGGGGATGTGTCCGCAACCAAGGTACATGCCTTTGACTGGAATCGAACCTGGGACCTTTCAGTCCGCAGGCTGATGCTCTATCCACTGAGCCAAACCAATTTCGGCGAACATTTTTTTTTACAGTATATTTGACACAATAAACTTTATACTACTATATCCATATAATAAAATCATGGTGTATATCAGGGGTGAGGAACCTTTTTTTGCCAACGGCCATTTGGATACTTATAACATCTTTTGTATAACATAAAATTATCACCTTAAAAATTAGCCTGCTATATTTGGTTAAACGTTTAATTAACACACCCCTAATGGCATGGCAGGGCCAGACCAAATGATCTCATAGGCCTCATACTGACATTTCCCACCCTTGGGCTGTATATGAATGATATAAATGTATATTTCCCAACAGATGATCACATAAATAAAAATTTTAAAGCATATAAAATTTTATATCTATTTAAAAATATTTATACATATGTAAATGTCTGACCTGGCCAGTGTGACTCAGTTGATTAGAGCATTGTCACATGCACCAAAGGCGTGTGTGTTCAATTCCCAGTCAGGGCACAAACTCAGGTTGCAGGTTCGATTCCTGGTTGGTTTGAATATGGGAGGCAACCAATCGGTGTTTCTCACATCAATGTTTTTCCTCCTCTCTCAAAAAAAAGTCCAGTCGTCTCTACTCAAAATATTAATAGTATGTGAAGGAGGGAGATTACAAATGATTTTTTCTTATTTTTTTATTGTTTTCTAACTTGTAAAATGAGCATATATTAATAGTGGAGTTGTTAAAAAAAAATAGTGGAGTTGTTTTAAATAAAAGTTTTAAATGGAAACTTAAAAGCAGGATAGGGTTATGTCAGGACACATACGGCTCAGCAAGCATCAAAGGCAATGCATTTTCTTGTATCTTGGATGGACGGTTGAAGCCCATGGCATAAACTCCCTGGAGAAGTTGTGGTTTCCTAGAAAAACAAGGATGCAAGTCAGTCTTGTTGGTTGAGGAAAGAAGCCAAATTTATGGGGAATTTTTTTCTCTTTTTTTACTGGTGTTACCCACAGCTTAGAACTAACAAACTTGAACTGTGCTGAACTGAGTCCAATGTGTTAAGTACAGATAACATTTTTATAGATTACCTGGAAATTTTACTAAATAGCTCAAAGCAGCTACTTTTTAAAAATTAAATTTGTTTAGCTAAAATTTTTCTACTATGATGAAAAATATAACAGGTCCAGTATAGCTGTCTAAACACAAAGAGGTGAGTGAGAAAGCAAACAAAACAATACTTACAACCGAAGCTCCTCAAAGGACTTCACTGAGTAGAGGGGGGAGTTTGGATCTCGTTGCAGGACTTCCACTTGGTTTGTGTTATCAACAAGGTTGTTTCTGATAAGTTTATTGAGTAAAGACTGGGCAGCTCTGTCCTCTGTCAGGAAAAAGAGCAAATAATTTTAAAAGTCCATGAAATCTACCATGAGCTTATCTGAATTTAATTGCCATTGGTATTTTAAGCAGTAATATGTGTTTTTAAAAAAATTATTTATTGTTGAAAGTATTACATATGTCCCTTTATTTCCCCAATTGACCCCCTCCAGCACTCCCCCACATCCCTCTTAGGCAATAATATTTGTTCTGGGACTCACCCCCCACACACACTTTAAAAAAAAAGAGTACTTTATTTTGATTTTAGAAAGAGAGGAAGGGAGAGGAAACCTGAAACCCAGGCATGTGTCCTGACCTGGAATTAAACTGGCAACCTTTTGATGCGTGGGATGAAGCCCAACCAACTGAGCCACACCGGCCAGGACTGTACTGGGACATCTAGTTCAAGGCATATCACAGTTTTTACTTATAAACATGATTAATTTGTTTTATTAAAGAGAAAGATTGCCGAAGGCGGTTTGGCTCAGTGGTAGAGCGTCGGTCTGCGGACTGAAAGGTCCCAGGTTCGATTCTGGTCAAGGGCATGTACATTGGTTGCGGGCACATCCCCGATAGGGGGTGTGCAAGAGGCAGCTGGTCGATGTTTCTCTCTCATCGATGTTTTAGCTATCTCTTTCCTTTCCTCTCTGTAAAATATCAATAAAATATATTTAAAAAAAAAAAAAAGAGAAAGATTATGATACTCATAGCATCAATTTGGGCCTCATATTCTTCTTCAGAACTCTATTCCTAACAACTGTCCTTCCCTGAGATTATTCCTATCTAGATCCAAATATTTCTCCCCAATTTATGCTTAATATAAACTTTAAACTAGAGGCCCAGCCGGAACCCATTTGGCTCAGTGATAAGAGCGTTGGTCTGCCGACTGAAGAGTCCCAGGTTCGGTTCCGGTCAAGGGCATGTACATTGGTTGTGGGCACACCCCCGATATGGGGTGTGCAAGAGGCAGCTGGTCGATGTTTCCCCCTCTACGTTTCCAGCTCTCTATCTCTCTCCCTTCCTTTCTGTAAAAAAATCAATAAAATATATATTTTTTTAAAAAACAAAAACAAAAACTAGAGGCCCAATGCACAAAATTGGTACAAGGGCCTTGGCCCTGGCCCCTGCCCACTGCGGCTTTGTCCGGAGGAAGCACATCTGGAAGGACAACCAGTCTAATTAACATATTATGATTTTATTATTACAGATGATTAACTTAATAAATATAATCACAACAATGAAAAAAACAAAATTAAAATCTATATCTTGACAACATATAAGCTGCTTGCATATTGCTAAATGTATTAAAATGTCATTAAGTTTAATTTTATTAGACAATGGCGATGGAACTTAAATGTGTTGTTTTTTTCCCCCCCAAAGGCAGTAAAATTTATTTTCTAATGCCTTGTAAAATAATAATCATTCAGGGAATATTTCCTGCTGCTGCTGAAGTTAATCAGTTTTCAAAGTAAAATTTCTGTAAAGTGTTAACAATTAGAATTCCTTCACCAACGTCTATATTAACCCTGTGATTCCCATTACAGTAAAGCCAAGTTGGGTGAACAAATGAAGCCTCTTAACAATCCATTCTCTTAGGCTGTAGAATCTTAGTATGTAGCTCTCAGGCTGTGTTACCTTTCTCTTCTTCGTCTGCCTTCTCTGCATTGGCATTGGTCTTGACAACAGCACCTTTATCAGACATAAAGTGGCATTCAAAATCACATCCCACACCCAAAGCTGAGATAATTCAAATTCTACCAGACACTAGAAATGTAAAGGCCTGAAGAGCAAAAAAAAACAATGAGGAAACCAAGCCACAGATAAAAACATTTTATTGTTGCTATACATACAAATAAAGGTATGAAACACTGTAGCTTACATTTTAATCCTTTGTTCCTCTCACCAGACTTCAAAAACTAATGTTAATTTCCCCCCTAGCATCAATATTTATGAAATGATTACAGAATTCATTGATCAGAAATCATCTTGATGCTCAACACCTATGCAAATCAAATTTCATCAATATATGAATACAATGCTATTAAGTCTATATATATGAATTGTTGATTAATAGAATTGTTAATAGAAATTTATACTCAAACACAGTTGTAGTTTTGTGAAAATACACACAAAACAGATTGTAAGTGAATCCTGTAAGGTAAATGCCACAATTTCTTCCTTATAATATTAAGCACATCAACAAAAATTTAATGGAAATCTTAGATTTTGGGTACATGATTTCAGAATAATTATAATAGATTAACTCTCAGATTGCTCATATTTTGTCTAGTTCTCAAATTGAGGATTATTTTAAAAAATAACAAATAACCTTTGGCAGTAGTCTCATGGTAATAAATTTAATAATGTATAAGCCAATTAGGCATCCTCATGATTATATTAAACACAATGTAAACAAAATTCAGTTTATTGATTTCCAAATCTAAATACTGCTAGTATCTGCCAGACAGTTATGTCAAAACAAAAATGCTAGAATAAATCACATTTGTTTTCCAACTAGCTTTTAGTTACTCACCATTGGCATCTGGTTTGATTTTCTCTTCCTTAAGATGCAAGTTGCTCAACTAAATGAAGAATATAGGAGAGGATGGAAAGTGTCAGGAAGATCAAGTATAAGATTTTAAATCAACAGAGCTTCCCCAGTGTAGCTTGGGAAACATGAGCCACTCTCAAGACCTATTCATTAGGTTGTTCTGCTGGGCTCCTTTTGTAATCCCCAATTATAATGCCTACATTTCTAATTACAATCTCTAGAGAAAATGATCATTTATAAGTTTGCTTAATTTTTTTTTCAAAGACCTCTTAGTGGAATATCAGTTGAGTTGTCATGTTCTCATATTCCATACAGAGGAAATTTAGAGAGATTTTGGAAAATACATCTGTAAGTAGGAATCAGTTATGTTACAGGATATGTGTGAGCCACAGGACCATAGCATATGATGTGCAGCCTCAATCACATTGAGGTCGCCTTGTGCTGGATGTCTGATATTTTAAACTTGGAACAGCTTGGAGGCTTATTGCATGCTGTGTACTCAAAATACACCGCAGGCTGAAGTAGAAATAGATAGGAAGGAATAGAGCAAAAAGACATTTCGAAGAAAGAATTATCGGGACTTTGATCAGACACTGCAAATTAGGGATATCCTGGCAGGATTCCCCCCCTCCCCCCCATTAGAATGAAAATACCCTTTAGTTGCCAATCATTCTTCAATAAAGCTGAAAAACAAAATACCTTAAAGCAGGAGGCATTTTTAATTGATTTTTGGATATAGCACAAAGCAGGCGCTATAATCTTAAAATATTAAGTGGTGTCAAAGACAATCTAGTGCAGGTAAAAGTATGAAAATCATAATAAAGGGTATTTCTTAAAGGGTTCTTTATATCTTGAGGTTCATTTCTGTCTTTCCTCTAAGTGTCAGAAGGGGGAAAGAGGGAGGATTGAAAAAGTTGTTTGTTTTAATGGGTGGTTAGTTACAATAGAAATGGAGGAACTTGTACTAATGGAAACTAAAAGGAGGGTTTCTGGTGTCTGTCTGCTTTGGTGTAGGGGGGAAGAGGAAACACACTAGAGAGCCTGGCAAGAAAGAAAATTGGCAAAAAAAAAAAAATTTCATCATAAAGCAGTAAAAATCTTCATAAATTCTGAAGAATAGAGAACACACTAATAGTTAATGAAATGAAGCAGTCAGCACAGTACATAATATATAAATAGTGTAGGTATTCAGTTATTTTAGTCTTCACTAAAGTATTCCTCCTTCACATCCTGTCAATGAACTTAGTGTAAGTCCAGCATATTCAGGGCTGTTAAAGAAGAGACAGACTAACTGACTTTTGGCAATATTTAAAGAGTAAGGTTAACAATATTCACACCTAGGGTCATAAAGAGCTACTTAAAATAAATGTAAGGGCTGAAGTCTAAATAAGTTAATGAGGTATAAAAGAATTAGAAATATCCATTACTGCAAAGCATTTAAATATTCAGTGACAAGAGGGCAAACTACTATTTTGTTTATAGATTTTTTTCAAATCAAAATTAAGAGTAAGTAGTTAAAATAGCTAAAATACATTGTGTAGGGTGAGAAAAATAAAGTACAATGTATTGGGAAAGTTGGTAGCAACAATGTAAATGAAACAAATAGATATATTAATATAAATGTATCAGTATTCTGGAGAGGTTCCAGCAGAATCTAAAAACATAGCCCTCATTTGACTACAAGGATCTCAAAGCCCATAAGGCAAAAACAGCAGCACAAGTTTCTATTATACACTGCAGTGAGTTAACTGAACACTGAAACTTATGTTGAGAGCAGTTAATCCACCACCCGGCTCCCTGTACCTTGGTTGCACGCTCCTCCCTGCCTGGGCCCAGAAAGCAACCAATTGGTGTGTTTCTTTCACATCAATGATTCTCTGTGTCTTTCCCTCTCTCTTGTACTATCCCTAAAAATTAATGGAAAATTATCCTCAGGTGAGGATAAATAAATGATTAAAAAATAAGAAAGATAATAGGATAAAATCCCACAATGCTCTAAAAATAGAGTCCCAAGATTCAATTTTGTAAAATTCCAGGTTGTACTGTGGTAAGGTTAAGTAAAATGGCTAGTATATATCTGCTGAAATTTATAGGAGCAAATCATATTATATCTGAATGTTCATTGTCACAAGGGTGTATTATGTGTTTCTGTTCTGTCTTAAAGATAATTCTATGCCCTAGCTGGTTTGGCTCAGTGGATAGAGCATTGGCCTACAGACTGAAGGGTCCCGGGTTCAATTCCAGTCAAGACTTGTGGGTTTGACCCCCAGGAGTGGGCATGCAGGAGGCAGCTGGTCAATGATTCTCTCTCATCATTGATGTTTCTCTCTGCCTCTCTCCCCTTTCTCCGTACTTCTCTGAAATCAATAAAAATATATTTAAAAAAGCTAATTCTAACAATGCAAACTCAAGAAAATAAGAAAATGACAAAGCTACCAACTCCTAAC